AGGAGAGTTGTAATTCTTTCCCTTCTTTGAAGTGTTGACGTGACATTTTATTTCTTAAATTCAGGTACATGGACTGCCATTGCAACTGAATTTGCTTAGCAGTATAACAGACTTTGTTGTTGTTGTTGTTAATTGTCTTCAAGTTGATCCTGACTCATGGCGACCCTGTGAACAAGTCTCCAAGCCCCACTACCTTCTACCTACCTGCTCAGATCCTGTAGGCTCAGGCCCATGGTCTGATTGAGTCTATCCATCTGTCATGCGGTCTTCGGGGGGGTTGCAGACTGCCAGAAATAGTGCAAATTGAGTCCACTTTAAGGGTTAGGGTTAGTGCTAGGGAATCATGGGAATTGGTTTTTTTCTGAGACATTGAGCCTTCTCTGTCAGAGAGCTCTGGTGCCACAATAAAATACAGTCCCCATGATTCCCTAACCCTAACCCTAACCCTAAAAGTGGACTCAATTTGCACTATTTCTGGCAGTCTGCAACCCCCCTTCCTCTCTTTCTACTTCCCTCCACCTTCCCCAGTATAACTGTCTTTTCTAATTAGTTGTGCCTTCTCATTATATGGCTGAAATATGACAGCCTCAATTTAGCCTCATCTTGGCTTCCAGGGAGTGTCAGTGTGTGAATGATGGGTGTTGCAGTGGTACTCTTAGACACCCAGCAGAGTCTGCAGAACAAGCTGGCTGCTGTGATTCACAGCCACTTTGTATCTCTTACCATCAATTAGCTCAGCTTCTCTTCTTCTTGACTGAGGAAGACAGGATGCCTGAAGAAGAGACTGCTGGGTGTCTAAGAGCACCACTGCAACACCCATCATCTACACACTGACAGGGAGAGTTCTAGCTTGATCTGTTCTAGGATCCATTTGTTTGTCTTTTTAGCTGCCCATGGTATCCTTAGTATTTTTCTCCAACACCACATCTCAAATGAATTAATTTTCTTTCTTTCTGCTTTCTTCACTGTCCAGCTCTCACATCCATACATGGTAATAAGGAATACAATGGCTTGAACGATTCTAACTTTAGTATTCAGCTGTATATCTTTCCACTTTAGGATTTTGTCTAGTTCTTTCATAGCTGCCTTTTCCAATCCTAATCTTCTGAGTTTTTGACTTCAGTCTCCATTCTGATCAATGTTTGATCCAAGATATGGGAATTCTTTTACTATTTTAATTTCCTCATTATCTAGGTTGAATTTATGTAACTCCTCTGTGGTCATCTTTTAATTCTATGGGTTTATGTCCAACTTTACATTCATGCTGTGATTGTACTCTGTAGCTTCCATATACTGCTGTACTACAATTTCCATCATTCTTAGCCATGAACTATAGTAGATGAGAGTTTGATTCTGGAGATCCACAGATTCCACACCCAAGTAGAAAAAGTACAAACAGTGTTGCACAATTGCCAACATTTTGTTTCAAACTTCTTGTAAGCTGCCTTGGGGAGAGCCAGCTTGGTGTAGTGGTTTGAGCATTGGACAATTCCCTGTTCAGTCATGGAAACCCACTGGGTGACCTTGAGCAAATCTTTCTCACTCTCTCAGTCCCAGAAAACCCAGTCATCGATTTGCCTTAAGATTACCATAAGTCAGAATTGACTTGAAGGCACACAACAACAGCAAGCTGCCTTGGGACCTTGCGAGAAAGTTGGGATACAACTACAATTAATTAATTAATTAATTAATTTAAAAAGTTACCAAATTCTCACTTCCTGCAGGATTCACTTTCCCTCTGTCCTGCCTGTACACATCCATATAGTGACTGGTGGAGAGTGTGAGTTAGCTGAGGAGCCCACCCCAGAAGATCCCAGATGACTCTCTCATTGTCAAGCGGTTATATTCACATAGCCAGATGTTTGACACCTACCCATTATCCACCAGTCACTACATGACCATGGAAGTGGGAACACAGGAGGAAGGTGTGTTGTCTAGGTTTTTTGATGACTGTGGACCTTATCCCACGGGGCCAAAAGCAGCAAGAATCCACTAAGAATCAGGCGCTATAGCGCTATACATTCCCGGGTGATCACACGACGTCGCTCAGAATCGGCTAAGAATCAGGCGCTATAGCGCTATAGTTTTCCGGGTGATCACACGACGTCGCTCAGAATCCAACAAGAAACCGCTCGGAATGCAGCATCATTCGGGTTCTTTTGAATGTCGGTTTCAGCGGGCATTGCAATAGCGCGAGCTGATCCATAGCGCTATTATAGCGCTAGCGCCATATTTATACTAGCGCTATAGTACTGCAATGATGCTCATATCGCTTTCTTGCCACTTTTGAGAGCAGTGTGGGATAAGGTCCTGTGTGAGGGAAGAGGAGAATTCAGACCCTTGTAATGAACCTGTCCCCCCCAAAAAAGACAGTGTATGTCACTAGGAGGGTGTCAGAGAGCACTGAGTTATTGAGTTGTTCAACACTGTGTGCTCTGACTAGTGAAACAGTTTGTGCAAGTACAATAAATATTGGATTTGGCACTTGTATATGTTGAAAATTATTTTAAAAAGCTGCAGGTGATGAAAGTTTCGTATTAGTGAAATTATTCCATTGGGTATAATCATAGCTTTTGGGGATGACATGACCAAAGATTTCTGAGAGTTGTAGTCCAAAAAGTAAAAAAATAAAAACACAACAAAAACACTTTTCTAAACTCTGGATATATAATCTTGCCTCCTTTTAATATAGTTTTATGTGAGGGCAAATATCTAATCCCACAGAGAAGATCAGGATTCCTCTGTTGGTTGTGTCCAACTCTGGAGACAATGGGCCTTTGCAGACTGCCAGAAATAGTGCAAATTGAGTCCACTTTAACTGCCCTGACTCAGTGCTAGGGAATCATGGGAACTGTAGTTTACTGTGGCACCAGAGCTCTCTGACAGAGAAGGCTCAATGTCTCAGAAAAAAATATAATTCCCATGATTCCCTAGCACTGAGCCAGGGCAGTTAAAGTGGACTCAGTTTGCACTATTTATGGCAGTCTGCAAAGGCCCAATGTCAGTCTGAGCTAGTTACTAGTCTGATGGGGCCAGAGGAGAGCATGTTTCTTTAGCTCATTTTAATGTAGACATTTATGTTAAATGACTATTAAAAATATATGACCTGGCCATTTTGAATTGTACACTGGATAGACCATATTATTGTACTATAACTCAAATATATTAAAATAAAGGACATACTTTTCAGGTTGATTTACTGTGTGGATGATCGCTAAAAAAATGTCAGATGCAACTGAATTATCTCATAAATTACCATCATTCTAGTAGATGAATGCCCAAGAAATATCTATTCTTCCTTAGAGACTGATGTGACTGAACTGCTGCAAAAGTTATTAACATTACTGGGAATTTTAACATTGCAGATTATTTTTCATGTGATTCGGTTCATATAATACTCGTCCAGAAAAGGCAGAAGATTTAGTCTAAAATTATACACCCTTTCCCAAAGTATAAAAAAAGATACTGCTTTTTCAAGATAGTATATTTAGGCTGCAGCCCTTTGCACTATTAATTTCACATTTCACATTTAATATGAATTGTGGGAATCAGCTCCATAAATAGATATAGCTGGAAGGACACAGAATCTCTTTTACCCACATGGGGTGCAAGAAACTGAAGGCAAGCTCCTACATGAGGAAGGAATGCTATGCAAAGTTTTTATAAGATGAGAGTAGGGATGGAAAGGAATGAGAGACTAGAGGCATTTGTGTGCACCTGGATATCGCAGGTCTGGGGAACCTGTGGTCTTCCAGAGGTTGCTGAACTCCAGTGTCCTCTCCCCTAGTCAACTAGGTCAGCAATGAGGAACAATAGGAGTAGTAGTTCACCATTCCCAGGAGTGTTAAATGACTTCTCATGCATGAAGAAAATGATTCCCCAGAGGTGGACATTATGTGGCCTTCCAGATATATTGTTGGACTGCAAATGGCAGCAGGCCTAGCTAGTACAAGCAGTGATCCCAAATGCTGGGAGCAGCACTCCAACAACATATAGGACACCACATGGTTCCTGTGTGTAAGTATGTGCCTTCAAGTCACCTGTCGACTTACGATGATTCCCTTAAATTTCACAGAATTTTCTTAGGCAAGGAATGTTCAGAGGTGATTTTGTCACTGCACCTGGTATTTATTGGTGGTTTACCATCCAAATGCTAACCAACGCTCACCCTTCTTAGCTTCCAAATGGAATCTGGTGACTTCAGCCATTTAGGATATTTAGGCCCGTGCCTTTATTCAAAGAATAACCACTCACAGCCATGAACTCAATATATAGTGGTGAGAAGCCATGTGCATTGCCCCTGGGCTATTTTGGGTCTTTGGCAATATTTTTGTTCTGGCTGAAAAAAGGTGAATTGCATCTCCTGGAAGCCTTCAGAAAGAGACATTTAAAACTGATTGCACACACCCCAAACCCTCCAACTGTCTCAGTTTGTCAGGGATGGCCATAATTAATGTTCTGTTTCTCTCTCTCTTCCTCCCACTTCCTCCCCTTCTTTATCAGTTTACTGAGATAACTGCAAACTGAGTTCAAAGTGCAAAAGCAGTTTAGTAAGGGGGGAGGTGACAGGAGGTAGTAGGTTCTTGCCCTTCCCAGTAGGCTCCAGCCAAAGCAAGGTGTGTTAGCTTTTCCTAACCATTGACGTTGTCACATGGGGAGCTCCGAACAGAAGCTGGCTTTAAAGTGAAAGTGCTACCGCAAAAGCGGAAGCAATTAATTAGCCGGCTTTCCCCGTGTGAAAACCTCCTGCACATTTAAAAGGAGGTTACTCTGAACGGAAAGTAGGCAGAAACTGCTTCTTTTTATTTTCGGAAGATCCCCGAAAATAAAAAGAAGCAGTTTCTGACTACTTTCTGTTCGGATTAACCTGCTTTTAAATGTGACGTCGTCTGAAAATATACCCGCTTTTGCGGGTTATTTTCAGTTTAACCCCCCGTTTCCTCACAGGATTTCCCCCGTGTGATAACGTCCTAAGGCACAGAATATCCTATGTTGTGAGAACCATTGTGGTATAGTGGTTTGAGTATTGGACTATGACTCTGAAGACCAGGGTTTGAATCCCTGCTCAGCCATGGAAATCCACTGGGTGACCTTGGGCAAGGTACACACTCTCAGCCTCAGAGGAAGGCAAAAGCAACTCCCTGCTCTTTCCCTAAAACTGTGACTCAGGGCGGCTTACAATATTTAAAAAAAGGTACGATTAAAAGCATACAAAAGTAGTACATTAAAACAGAATTAAATTACTACAACATTAAAACAAATTGCATGTTAAAATAATAAAATACAGTTTAAAAGATTAAAATGTTTAAAACACTTTAAAATAATACAACACCACAGCCCGTTCTTTAAAAACCTTCTGCTTTAAACACCTGTCTGAACAGGAAGGTCTTAGCATGTGAGTTGAAGGACAATGAAGAGGGACCATTATGGTCTTGGGAAGGGAGTTCCAGAGTCTAGGGGCAGCCACCAAGAAGGCCATCTCTTGTGTTCCCACCAACTGTGCTTTTGATGGGGGTGGGACGGAGAGAAAGGCCTCTCCTGAGGATCTCGGGACTGGGGCCGGTTCATAAAGAGAGATACAGACTGCCAAATGGTCGGACCTGAGCCATATCGGGCTTTAGAGGTCATAACCAGCACTATGAATTATACCCAGAAACAAACCGTTAGCCAGTGAAGCTGTTTCAAGAGGTGCACTGTGCGGTGTCTGTTACCTGTCCCAGTTAACAGCCTGGCTGAAGCTCTTTAGACCAGCGGAAGTTTCTGAACACTCTTCAAAGGCAGCCCCAAATAGTGTGTGTTACAGTAATCCAAACAAGATGTAATCAAGGCATGTATCACCGTGGCCATATTCAATGTCTCAAGGAATGAACGCAGCTGGTGCACACGTTTTAAATGTGCAAAAGTACTCCTGGGCACTGCAGAAACCTGGGCCTCCAGGTTCAAAGTTGAGTCCAAGAGTACCCCCATCGTCAGGGGGAGCGTAACCCTGTCCAGCACTGGCAAAGTCTCTATTCCCTGATCTGCCTTCCGACTGACCAGGAATACCTCTGTCTTGTCTGGATTAAGTTTCAATTTGTTTGCCCTCATCCACTCCATTACTGATGACAGTCACTGGTTTAGGATCAGGATAGCCGCCTTGGATTGAGCTGGAAAGGAGTAGTAGAGTTAGATGGTACTGCTTGATAAAGTGGAAGGCAGTTTGAAAATAGGAAGAGGGCAGTACAAATTGATTGATTCAAGGCTGAGTCGACCCTGAGCCCCTGGCTGAGAATGGACTCACAACCTTGTAGTTTGTGACTGAGTGGCTCCAGAACTGGCATTTAACTACTGCACCACCAGGGCTCTAGTTCTAGGGGAAAGGTAGGATACAAGTAAAATGAATAGTATTTTAGATTTACCATTAGTCATACTAGTGGGTCTTGTAAGAGAGGTAGATAAAAATATCTAGAGGACAGAAATTGTATGGTACCTAATTTCTGCTGAACTCTGCTGTATTGTAACTTCAGCCAATAACTGTATATCATACACCAAGTATAGGTAATGTGGCACCCTCCAGATCAGGGGTAGGCAACCTTTTTGAGCCGGGGGCCGGGTTGCTGTCCCTCAGACAATTGGGGGGGCCGAAGCACCAAAAATAAATAAATAAATAAATATAAAAATAATTTAAAAAAATAAAAAAATATGCATGCACACTCTCTCAGCCCCAGAAAAGTCATGGCGAAACCCCTGTGGAGATTTTGCCAAGAAAACCCCAAGAATAAGTGATAACAACAATAATCAATATCATCATGGCGGTGGCAGCGGTGGCAGGACTGGCCCGCGGGCCTTAGGTTGCCTACCCCTGCTCCAGATGATTTCAACTATAGTCATCTTAATCCTGACCACTGACCTGCAATAATGGGAAAAGATAGAATTAAAACATTGATTACAAAAATTCAAAAATAATTAAATATTACTAATATTAAAACATAAGTTTTAAGCTTCAATATTATGGTGATATTGCTTACCACTGTCATCAATCTTCTCCAAAAGTTACATGGCTAATTTGAAAGTACACAAATTACATTTCAGATTATAAAAATGAAATTATCCTGTAAGCACCAGTTACCATGGTTTCCTTTTCCTTTATTAAAAAAAAGAGCCAATTTTGTATTTTTCTCTGTATGGCAACTGGTGCTACAGATGAAAATACCACTTGTTCTGCTACCTATTTCTTCTAATCCTATTGCATTTCTAGGCAGTTATATTGTTAGATATGCATGAAAAACAGGACCAACTCCTATGTAATATAATTTTATCCTTCATTGGTTTTAAACTGTTACCACATGCTGTAATTTCCATTTCTCATGCCCTATTGGCCTTGGCAACCAGTTTAAATTGAGTGAATTTTCCTCATAATATTCATTGCTTATGCTATTTACTCAACATCTCATTAAGTTTCAATTTTTGTTTATATTCCCAAATAAATATTTCACATTCATATTCTGTCCTCAGGAGATAAGGCACTGAATGCTGATTGCTTCAGATGTAGAAAACATTACAATTTTGAGGTTGTTTTTTTTAGTTTAGTAATCCTCAGGGAAAAGAAAAGCCAAATTTACAAGTTTGCAAATAATACTAAATGCCTTGTTTTAGAACAGAGAAAAACTACAATCACTTACCTAAGAGAAAATCCCATTGAATTTACTGGGACTCAATTTTGAGAAGATATGCATACAATTGCTTTTAGATGAAAGAATAAAATAAAATTCTCAGGGTAACCAGATATCCTCTTTTTCCAGGACATACCTTACATTTCGTCATTCTGTCCTGGAAGAATTCCAAAATGTCCTCATTTTGAGCATGAATTTATATTTATATTAATGTTTTTAGCTTTATTTTGTAATGTCATGAATTGTTCTTGAATGTCCTACATTTTACAGTGACTTGTCCTCCTTTGTGGTTGTAACAAACATCTGGTCACCCTGAACATTTTATAAGAATATATGCTATAGCACAGAGGTAGGCAACCTTTCCCCTTTAAGGGCCGAGAGACTTCAGCTCCCAGAAGCCTCAGCGATGTTGGCCAATAATCCCATGTTGGCCAATAGCTCCTGGGATTCTGGGAACTGAAGTCCCTCGGCCCTTAAAGGGGAACTATAGCAGATTAAGAAATATAACTGGACCTGTTATACAAAGGCGAGATCCCAGCTGTTGTTATCACAGCCCTCTCGCTCCTCCCAGTTGAGCTAAACTGAGTACAATTTGTGGGTGCCCTGCAATTTAAGTAACACTGGGTGACACCACAGTTAGTGATGCCACTGCCTGGTACAGCCTCACCCTGCACTTCCTAGAGATGCCCTTGTATGCACTCATGCCTCTGGTTCACTGGTGATCTTTTAGTTAAATCCATTTTCCAAATATCACATTAGGTAATGACTCGGCTTCTATTGGGAGTAAGGCCTTCTCTGTAACAGCCCCCAAATTCTGTGGTACACTACCCAAACAGATCCCTATTGAGTCCTCCATGCTAACCGGCAAAGCCTTTTCCATCCCACTGCTTTTTGTTATGCTTTCTTTGATGGCCTGTAAACTGATTTCATTGTTGTTCTATTTTTTGCAGTTACTTGGAAAAGTTACTTTTTTGACTAAATTTCCAATTTCTTATTATTTTTAATCCAAAAAGTAACTTTTCCAAATTTTGTTTTCTTTTATTGTTTAGTTTATTTGCACTTTGTTATTTTATGAATGTATTTAATTAAACAGTGGTATAGAACAGATACAGAATCTAGTAAGAAATTAAAACTGAAACACACATAAATTTCCAGTCAACAGGCATATTAATCTGTTTTTGCATTATCTATAAGATTATTTAGAGAGAGATACAACATTAAAGCACATGCAGTTGCAGAAAACACACACCCCCTCCATACCAGAGGATCTAGAAAGAAAGAAAGAAAAGACCCTGAGATAGCTGAACTGGAGTCTTCAAAAAGCTTATGGAGATTGACTACAAGAATGCTGTATTTGGCTGATTCATGAGAATGCTTTCTAGGTGTTGTTTTAATGGCAAAGGTGTTATGGAATGTTTAGGAGCATTCCAGCTGCTCATAAGTTAAAAATTAAAACAAAATGGATCCTGTCATTACAGAGAAGATCTTATACACTCACAAATATACACATTCTTATACAAGTTTTAACTTGTACATTTCTAATACCAAATAACTGGAATATGAAATAAAACTGTATGAGATAGAAACATTACAGAAAGCTAAAAGTGTTTGTAATTTATGAACACCATTGAGCATTGTGCTAGCATGGTTTGAAAATAGGACTTTGACTCTGGAAACTCACTGGGTGACCTTGGGTGAGACACACTCTCAGCCCCAGTAAACCTCATGATAGGGCCGTCATAAGTCGGAAACAACTTGAAGGCACACAACAACAACAACATCATAAATGTGTGTACTTGGCCTCCACAAAGCTAAAATATTAACATATTTGTGTAGGGTTAATAATTGTGTGTCCCTCCAGAAGTTGTTGAACTGCAAGTCCCAGCAGTCCTCTTCATGGGTGATTCTGGCTAGGGGTTTGGGAGTTACCGTATTTCAATAACATCTGGAGGGACACATGATCCCTATCTCTGAATCATGGAATGGCAATGTACACAGCACTGTAACCTTTCACATTACACAGTTATCGGATTCTGATTCCACTTTCACTCCCATGGCTGGATAATCCTAGGATCTGTAGTTTGGGGAGGCACTAGTGCTCTCTGGAAGAGAACTTTTAATACTTTATGAAACTACAAAGTGCACATTCTAAGTCAGCTCTTGATTCATTATCACAACAAACACACTACCCTTCCTGACAAAGTGCTGGGATGCAAAGAAGCAAATGCATTGTGATGGACAAGACCTGTACACAGAGAGTTGGACTTTGTGGTTTTTCATTTTGTCAAATGCTAGATTTGCACTCTGATCCCACCAGCTTCCATTTCTAAATAAGTCCTGCTGATTTCAGCAGGATTTACTTTCAAATAAGCATACATTAGTATGTATCAATATACATTAGTATTATATCTCAATGTTTG